CCGCCGCGATCGTCGCGATTTTCTCAAACGTGTTCACGTTTTATTCATTAGCCGACGCGACGCGCTCGCCGTTGCATTCGCCGTCGTGTAACGCAGTGGTTTCCGAACTTTACGCTGCTACGACACCCTTTGACCCCCTGCACTGTGAGCTCTTTGTGAACTGTGAATTTCATTTGGAATTTGTTTACTCTGAAGTTCTGTCTGAAGATAAGAGAAAGATTCTGGGCATATTGTATGTGAACGTTTAGTCTGAGGTGTAAGCATTGATTCATTTGAATTCGAACGAATTGAATTACGACACCTTTTAATCCCTTGCTTTATGATTTCTTTGGGAACTGTGATTGTTCTATCTACTTTGTTATAATAGTTTATTGAAGGTAATAGAGAAATTCTAGGTATATTATGTGTTAACGTTTGCTCTGTAGTATAATCATTGATTCATTTGAATTTGAACGAATTGAATTATGCCACCCTTTAACCCCTTGCCTTTTTTTGTGAACTGTGATCGATGTAATTATTTTGTTATAAATAGTTTATCGAAGGTACTAGGGAAATTCTAGGCATATTCTGTATCAATGTTTGCTCTAAAATATAATCATTAATAACGGAGGAATAATATTTTATTTAAATTCAAACGAATTGAATGATATGTAGGTTCGTTAAATTCTGTTTGAAATCTTTACCACAAGTCTGACGCGATATCATAAGACAAGGGGTTAAGAAAAATGTAATCTTGGCACGCTAATATTTTAAAAAATAGTTTATAAAATTTGGGAAACAAGATTTAATTAATACAAGAACATTTCACAAAAGCAGTTTTTTCGAAAATTCATTAATGGTAGTTAGATCACTATACTAACATTGACCTAGTTAATCGTTATTGTTTTCTCGGACAATAATCTGTAAACAAAATAATTGTTCAAAGAATCAGCTGGAAGATTCATTGTAGAATTAAAAATGTTAAAAATGTCTTTTGTAAGAATTCTTCGTATTAAAGGGCGACATTGTTCAGTAAAGATATTTGAGAAAGATCTTTGTCTATCATCACGCTAATTGATACGTATCATATTACATCCTCCTATGCTATCTTATAATGACAAACGGTAGACTCGAAGTATTACGATGAGAAAGGAGAACCGTAACTTGAATCTTCAGACTAAAACGCGAATGGAGTTGTTTAACATTATTAATGAAGATGGTGAACAAGCTGTCGATTGTTACAACCACTTAACAACAATTTTATGGCTTTTCGCATATCATCGACACCACTCTACTGAATGTACTTACTTTCTGAATCATACTTTACTGACATAATATTCAAAGAGAACAACGTTAACATTAACAAGTTTTACTAACTGCAACGTTTCGAAGTTTAAGTTTATTTTTCATAACTTTGCCAACGTTTTCAAGGTAAATAACTATGCATTCTAGATACCTTAGGATCAGTATAATCATATCCTCTAAGAAACATTCGTTGTTAGCCAACGTTCCTCAATTTCTACTATTTTCTCTTTAGTTATGAGTGGAATTTTTAGCAAAAAGAATAACCAGCATCACACGCAAGAACTGGTTTGATATTAAACTGTAAGACGAGTGTAGTACACATGTAACAGTGTAGTGAGGAACAATAATAAAATAAACACAAGTTGGTATATGTTGTACAATCGGTTATGTCACTGAGAATCAAACACGTTTCTTAAAATAAAAAATTAATCCAATATTTCAAGTAAATTAATTTCATTCTTATATAAAATACCTGATAAAAGAATTATACTATTTACTAATAATAGAACATCTCTGTTAACTTAAATCTAAACATTAATTTTAAAAATAAATAAATATAGTAATATAACGAACAATTCGAAATTTTTCAACAGTGTCTCGTTATTCAGCACAATATATAGTACAAATATGGTATAAGAACTTTAAACTGTTCCTAATTCCCCTTAACCATTTGCATCATTAGAATTTTCCTAGCCATAATCACCAGGATGTATTCACATTGCGAGTGAAGAGTGATCGTAAACAGATTAAATTATTTGTCAGGATAAATTAATCCAAACTATTCGATAAAAATATACATATGAATCTTCCTCATTTATATACTTCACAAATTACTGCTTGAAACATTATATTTAGATTCAATAAAGAGAATTCTATGATAGTGTATATTCTTCAATTTGCCATATGCTGGAAACAGCTTAACTTTTCCCAATGGCCACAGAAAAATTTGACCAGCGTATCAGGTGTCTACTCTTTTCTCACAGCCACAGGTGTAACTGTTTTTCCCGTCACGTACAAGTACGTTTTCAAGGGATAGACACCCGTCACAAGTCGCCGGTAGAAGGTCAAGAATCCAAGTACACCTTTTGTCCTCGTGTCGTTTTAAAAATGTCTGTTCAATGTGCCGAACTGACGAGTGCCATTGAACTCGAAGTGACCGCGAGACGGCTTGATGCATCAGTGGAACAGGTTTCGAATACAGAATCCCTGAATCTGTCCCGGGATAATAGAAATCGACGGAGCTTACCGAATTGCCATGGTTAACCCATGTCGTGGAATTAATTGCTGAGGACTCTACCTCTATCAATTTTCTTATTCGACCATCACTCAAGGCCACTGATCCATCCAAACAAAAGATTTGAGACTAAAGGGGAACCCTAGCTGCCACAACATTGCCTGTATACGAATATGCAAATAAGAATGTAAGAAAGAGATTATCGAAAAAGAAGATCGACGTCAAATACTTAACCTAATTGTAATTTCTGTAGAAATTTCCTTTACTTCCCTTACATTATTCTCTCAGATGATTCTGTCCTGACGTCATCGTGTTTTAATTTCAGTATTACAAAATAAAATTCCACGAATTCCTCGTCCTAACGAAATTGAATTCCAGTTTGATCAGAATTTAATTAGAAATAAATTAATGCGATCTGTTTCTGGTTAAATTTTGATTAAGTACTTTGACTCAACTTTTTGTGTACATAATAACTGTTTAATAAACAACGTTAAGTAAAATTTTTACAACACTGTTCAGACTGATGATCTTGACAACATTAACTTTTGTGTAAACATTCACTGGAAATATTGTAATCCTTTACTTTTATGTAATTTCAAATTAATTATCAAACATAAGACTAGAACTTGTTGCGTACCCAAGTCACTAGGTAAGAATATGAATGACTGAAAATAATGAAAACACCAGCAGTCACTGAATAACAAGGTAATTAAACATATATGGAATGAATTAATGAAAATGGTCAGACTATATAACGTTGCAAATAAATAAACGAAGGTTAAAATGTAATACACATTGCGAAGTGAATAACGAGCAACATCTCCAAAAAATGATATAAAAATTTAATCAAATCGTTCGACGCGTCTCGTCGTTGTTTACAAATTATTTAAAATGGTCATGGTTATCTCACGAAATGTTAAAATGCTAATTAAATTCTCCCTGTACCAACTGTAATTATCAGTAATTGGTTACGTACAATATTCAGTGACTGTCGACATTTTGCGTTATCATTACAATCTTAATTATACAGTAAAAGTGACATTTAAAGAAAAGTCTTACGAGTATTAAAGTGTACGATTTTAAGTGACACTATGTAACCACATGTGTCGCTATCCTTGACAAGATCAAAAAATGCAGTCAATGCTACAAATGTTACTGAGAAAATCATGTAATATCTTTAATATGCTATCATTTGAATAAATCAACCATTAATAATTAAAATACAGAAACGTACATTAAAAAATGTTGAAAATAAATCCAAAGAAAAAATGGTACCGACGATTTAAAAGAATAGTAAATACACGATCTACTGCTCCTTTCGTGAAACTCTATTTCGAATCAACAGTTTCACCGTCACTGTAATTCTCCCAATTAAACATGCTACCGTAACAAATTACACTTTTCCAATTAAGCCAGAGTAGAACCACCCATATAAACATAGTACAACGGAAAGTTACGATATAATCCGACATCATTAACTTATCAAGCGCCCTTCTATAAAACTGTAAGGAAACCAGTGAAACGAGTCAACAGCTCGTTACAATTGACTCGTCACGAAACTTCAGGAGTACTTCAGTAAATATCAACGACAGTGTCCTCGATTCGTTTACTTTTACCTTCAGAATCCGTAGTTACGGTCAAGGGAACCTCTTACCGGCGTTTTCATGGAGATACCCGCGGTGATAGCCAAGACTGCGGAAAACCGGTGAATTTTTCTTAACTCCGTCACGCGGAGATAAACTTGGAAGCGGAGAGCCCGAAGTCACAGCTGAGGGGGCAGCATTCCGACGGCGTCGTCTAATTAACCGATTTCGCGCGGCGTATTTTTCGTAGTGAACGACCGTGCCGGTGCCAATTGGCTACCTCGATTTTTACCCTTTCCGGTTTCGCTTATCCGCAACCCCCGCGATGCGACGTGTCAACGGGGAAACGCAACTTCCAGCGGTTGCGCTGCGTTCGGTCGTTTTATTCGCGTGCACAAGTTATCTGGGAAAAGAAGCGGCGGGCGGCGTACAGCTCCGTAATTGGTGCTTACAGCTAATAGCCCATTGTCTGCCATAAAGAAGCGGGAAAAAATGTTTCATTTATCCGAGACGTTTTCAGAAGCACCATCGGGAAAGAACACGACGTCGGCGACGCGTTTCAGAATACAATACGGACCGCGGCTCTCGTCCCACATTAAGCATTCGTCGATCGGCTCTAAGGAGGCATCGAATTATACCGACGATAAATTTTTCCCGTTGCGCGCGTCTATCACTCCCTGGAGGGAAACAAAGACCGCGCACCGTGACGCGGTGATACGAGGAGCAACACGGTACTCTTGAATAAAACAAATTGGAATAGAAGTTAATAATAAATAAGAAGCTAATACGAAGACGAAAAATCTCACTGAGTACAGCATCAGGACAGCTAAACGTCAATTAAGATCGAGGCACGATCGAATAAAATGTATATTATAGACAGCAGGGTAGCAAGTACGAACCTTGTCCACGCGACTTAGATCCCAGATCGAAGAGCCGGTATCGTCGCGTCGATCGGTATAGCACGTCTCACTGGAAGGGTCATCACACTTCCGGTACCGGGCGGCGGAGGATCCACAGAAATTCCCCGATATTCCACGAACGCGCGCGAACACCACGAAAATTACCGACGACGCTTGCGAACGAGGTCTTAACCGGTGGCGTGAACTGACTGGAAATCGGCGCGATGTAAGTTTCCGTTTGCTCACTGGTCGCACGAGTGCCAGCAGCAGTCGGCACGGTACTGATGCGTGCACTGTGACATGTCAGGTGGTGATTTTGGTCTGGCGGGCGAACGCGACAGGAACGAACGGAGGCTCGCCTCGCCTCGCCTCGCTTCGCCTCGCCTCGCCAGGTCTCGGCTCGCCGCGACTTGAACTGACCGCGCAGGGAGAATCAACGCGGAGGAAGGAAGTCGGATCGGCGATCGATGACACCGGTGGATTAGACTGGAAGCGCGGAACGTGTCAGGAGGAGCAGAAAGAGGAGCAAGGAGGAGGAGAGGATCCAGCCGGCGGAGAGCGAGGCGCGCCAGATCAGGGCAGTGGCTTGGCTCGGATCAGACTGAACCGAGTCAACCGAAGGATTCAAGATATGCCTTTACCTTGCGCGCCTTCCTTTCCTTTACCTTTCCTTCGCCACGCGTTCCGTCTCCCTTCCGCGCCCGGACGTCTCGTGCTGTTCACTCTGTTAATCGTGATAGCGCGGACAGTGACGTACCTCGGCCCGGGCCTACTCCGTTCATCCCGGAGCCCGGCTGAAAATTGCGCCGTGTCACGCGAGACCGCCAAAAACATTTTCGACGCGATCCCTGCTCGCTCGAGTTGTCGCGATTATCCCTAACTATCCCGCGGCTAGCCGTCTCGCTTCTCTCGCACCGCTCGCGGGACCGTATCAATTTCGTGAGGGATTTTTTGCGACGAGCGTGGCAATTTTGGTGAACGCTTTTAATACAAACTGAAAAGAAAAGTGGAGGAATGGTAACTCTTTAATGCGAGACTCCTCGCGAACGGCGATACTTGATGCGTCTCGCTGTGTCCTCTTTGTTGCTCGTGCGGGTTCTTTTTAACCTCGCCTGGTTAAATCGTTTCCTGTTTCCTCTTTTCAACGGCGCGGTTTCTATTATATGGCGTTTGAAATGGTGTCACGATTAGGAATACGCGGAACGTTTGCAGTACAATGGTAGCTATATCAATGCTAAACAGGCGAATGAGTATTGTGTGTAGAAGGCAATACCGAAAGATAAATTATAGAAATTGACGAGGTAAATTGTAATTGTTGGATTTTACGTTTTGTACTGTTATCGCGAATAACGATCAAGAATACTGTTTACATTTCGACAAGCTTATATGCGAGATTAAAGGATAACGTTCAATTTAACACGTGCAAATTCGAAAATCTAAATACACATGATAAGTACAAGTAACATAGTAATGATGAAAAAAATATCACAAAAAAATATATCAGTTGAATGACGCGCCCTTTTAGCGCGGGGCGCCACGAACTGAAAATACGGAGCTGCGTGTAAACGTAGCATAGCGAAGCGTCTGTCCCTCTCTCAACCGCTACTCACCTTCCTCTGGTGAGGACCTCGGCCTCGTGCCCACCATTCTTCCTAATACTTTTGTGCACGCCACAGAGAAAGAAGTCCGGTAAAAAGCCCCTGTCCCATAATGCCTGGCGCAATCGACTTGACTTCCTAAAAATAAAGGGCACACACGACAGAATTGAAACGATTAAAAAAGATGGCAGTGGGCCTCTTTGAATCGCTGTTCGTTAAATGTAGTAAGCCACTTTTCTGAATGGTACGCAACTGCGTACGGATTTGAAAAGGATTTTTTTATCCGCGAATTACGTGCAACACGAGCGGCCGGGAGGGAGGAGGGACGATTTATTTGCTTCGAGGAGATGTAAATTGACGCGAGAGCATCCCATTTAAAACAGGTGTTACGGTTGCGTGTTTCCGCGAAGCACCGTGGCGCTTTCAAACGGCGCCGGTAAACTTTTGCGAACCCTCGCGCCGATTTAGAGCTTCACGGGAATTACGTTTATTGGAGTACACACAAGAATAATAATGGCCTCTCAGGTTAAACTTCGGAACTTACTACTTCCACACCCATTCGTTTGTTAAACTTCTGTTTGTAATGTTCCCCCTTCCCCTCGGAACCGAAAAGAAATATGTAAACATATAAAACAAACTTGTATAATACTTTTTGAATGTGTCTGATAAATTTATTTGTCCACATAAACTCTGTGTGCGTTCATTGACGCTGTTCTTTATAGTTTATATTGTACACAGTTATTGCTGTTACTCGTATTTATTTAGAGATGTGTTTATTTGTTCCCGTTTTTATCGTGATCTCGTTATTCTATCTTTGCGCCAGGTACTTACGTTTCATGTATTCATCTTCATTCAGTAATCGGACTAATAAAAATTTAAGTTGCAAATTTTTCATTCGATATTTATGGAACATGAAATATATATTATTTATATCTTTCTGGGAAATGAATTGATTTCAAAGATAATTCTAACACCGTGAATTGAATAAATATTTCATAAGTAATGATAAATGTGATCGAGAAGATTTAACCTTTGTACATTGTGAAGTCTTATTTCATAAATAAATGCAGTAACAGACCTAATATTTAAGATTGTAAAAAATAGAATACTAATAAACTGGAACGGAATATTAATGATGAGACAATTATAACATGTAAAAGGTAATAACTGTAAATACTTACTAATAATTCTTTGTTAGTAGAAATTTCGTATTTCAGCCCTTCCATCTCCTCGTTGAACTAGCGTTCAATTTCAATAGTGTTGCCCTCACTCAGCACATTTCACAACTACAGGTATCACTGTCGATAATGAAGTATTTACCTGAGATAAAATTATACAAATCGAAAACCACATTTTAATTACTATATTTCAAACACTGTAAAATGGTAAGATATAACGACTATTTAATTAAAAATGATAGGAAATCGTACAGTTCTATTGAAATATGATATTCCGTTATGTAAAGCAAGAAAATCCCAGGAAATCTAGTTATTCTTTATATAGTGTTGCCAACCATGCTTCACTAAACTTGTGTATTTTATGAAGGTTACTACGTGGTTCCTGTTACTTCATGTTTTGTTACTTTTGTGCCGTTGATGTATAGTTTTGTCAAAATATGCAGTGTTCGTAACGATTGAAACGAGTGTCCAAGTAGGTCTTCAAAAATACATTCAACGATAAGTGTCGACGTGTAAAATGGCGTGGTTCGGTGACGGGCTGCCTAGCTTGTCGAATTTAAAGGGCCAGATATCAAACTTTACGAAAGAAGTTTTATCAGACGGCATTGTAGAAGAAATAGGTACGCATAATATACTTCTAATCATCATCTAATTCCGGTGAATTACTACTTATTGTCGCATAACGTAGGAGGTTACTGACGACTGTCAATATAAGGGTCTGTTTTATCGAGTGAGGTCGCCACAAAGTGGCGGGAAATTCAATCTGTCAAACTGCATCGTTTAAAATTGAAGTTTTATTTAAGTAGATTTATCTATAATATTTTCGTGAATTATGCTTTGTGTGCAGACGAACGATCGAGAGCGTTGAATGAAGCGAACGAAAGGTGCGTTGAACTTCAAGAATTACTCAAGTCAAGAGACGCTGAAGTAAGTGTTATTTCAATTTAAACAATCTGTATCGATTATTATCCATTTTTATTTACATTATTTACATTTTATCATTACACATATCGTTGGAAAGTAAAGTACATTTTTAAAGATGTTGAAATATCGTTTCATGCGGAAACGCTGTTCGTAGTAACTTCCTTACAGTCATGAAAGCTGTGCTGTAATCAGCTATCGACTTTATTACGAATCCTTGGCACCCACGCAGATGGCGATCACTTTGATAAGGATACAGTTACCCGCCGGTTGTTAAATTATTTTAACAGATGTTGCTTTCCGTAATAAACGGGATTGAGTGTAATGTCAATACGTTTACCTTATCTCGCATCACACCAACCCCGAGTCCTTTCAACCCTCGGCAAGGAGCGATACGAAACTATGCTTCGATACGTGGAGCGTGTAATTTAGAATTGCCCGTATTACATTTTTCATATTGCTATTTACATATATTTTATTATCCAGGATTCCTTGTAACTTGAACTTACGTAACGAAAGAGTTATTTTTTAATATTCAATCACTGCTAACACAGACTCTTCAATTTAATTTATAATGTACGTCTATATAGTTACTATGCATTTCATTTTTTTAAAGTAAAATACAATCGAGTTCTCATTGGAAATTCTTTTAATTAAATTCATTAGATATCTTCGAAATTTACGATTTAAATAACACGTGTGATAAATGATAAATAAACAACTAGGAATTAATGTTCCCATTGATTTCACGGGTAAATAAAATCTATTAAATAAATTAAAATATTTTAATCAACATTGTGATATATTCATGTCATTACTATTGTTAATATGTTAAACGAATTTTTACAATATTTAGATTCTTAATACTACCACGTGATTCTATTCAGTGGTTACATTTATTTGTATTTAAATAATCGTAAAACGAAAACTTTGTAAACTTTCCTATTATTTAGTACTCATAAGTGCTTGTAATGGAAAGAAGAAATTAATATACGAGATCCATGCTCTCCTTATAAATTGATTTCTCAAAATTGGAATTTGCGTGAAGATACTCCAGTCATTACTTTCGATGCACACGTTCCTTTGAACAAATAAATTGTACCCGTGATTTCCATTAAAAATCTATTCACAATTGGCCTCGTAAATATTTCATTTGTCCATAATTGTCGTATTTCTTTCATAAAATATTGCTACTCGGAACGACCTTCGGACGTGCAATCGTTTCACCGTGCAAAAATAGTTCTCGCGGAGGGGTTGGGGCAGAGGAAGGGGGGTCATTGAAGTCTGCACGGTCACGTCGTTCCGGTTTGTTATCGCGGACAATTTGTGGAAGCATAAGAGACCGAAAGCGTACACCATGTTTCGTTCGTGCTTTTGTGGTAAACCTCAGAACCATGCCCTCTGTTGTTCTAGGAACCGATAGATAGCGATATCAAGGCCTTTTCGTTTGTATTAACAATGCTCGTGTCGCCATTACTGTCCCCCTTAGACTCACGTGTATCATTACGGTGTTAATATACGAAATCCCCATTGATTTTATACGAATTTAAGGCGCGACCAGTAACAATGTAAGCGTGAAGTACAAAGAGAAGAACCGGCACGACTGTCCAGAATTATTGAAACGATATTAAACATTCAAATGATAGAATATTCGGAAATTAAAACTATGCTATGTAATGTTTATAAATGCATGTTTATAAATTAGACTTATTCAAAAACATTACTTACTAATTTTATGTCTTTCTACATTCCATTTCAATTATTATTTTATCGCAGAAAACATTAATAATATAGAGGATCTAGCAACGTCAATTATTTTGATAAAATTTCATTTATACAAACAATAAGATGAAACTTTCATACTTACCTTTCGAAATTGAAAATTGTGTACATTTTGATGGGAGAATAATGTCTAAATAATTAATTTGAGTAAAATTTCTATATGAAGATATTTATATATTATGTATATTTTAATATATAATATAATCCCTCATTAACTATTATATTATATATTAACTATCACGCTGGTTACCTGTAAGCGATACCACAAAATAAAATGAAAGATAATTGGATCGTTAAATAATAGTTCTTTCCATGTTTAGTACTGCATTCTTCTTTAGCACCACTCGCCATCGTTTATTGATGATATGTTAATAAAACGTTGTTAGTATCAGTAATATATATTTCTGCTTTGACCTCGTCTTACATCGAGAAATGTAATATGTTAATTCTACTTGTATAATTTTAATATAATAAAATAATATAAATTTTATGGTAAGAAATAATTCATTGCTTGGAATAATTAGGCAATCTTGTATTGAATGGTAATTTATTCATATTTACATATAGAAATCTAAGTAAGAAATGAATATTAACGATAGACTATAAAGATAAGCAACGTTCAAATATTCATACATAAATTATAAAATACAGTAAAAGATAATATTATTATTTTGCACATTATCTTGAATCACATAACAACTTACTGATCCATCCATGTATTTTCTTTCTTTTAAGAAATTTCAAACGGTATTCTTATGAATGAATGATTTTTATTTTTATGGAAATATATCACAAGTGTTTTCATTAAATAAAATATTTGGATAACATACAACATTTTCAAAACATTAATTTGTAACAGAACCGATGCACTTTAAAACTATGATAGAAAACATTAACTTGCCATTATAACTTTTAGTAGAAACTCATAAAGTACTCTATAAGTAATTAATATATTACAAAATAATTAAACAACATATTTTAAACTCTATAAAACATTCACTTCTTTAAAATATACACTCGTTCAATAAAATCAATCTTCCGTGACTCAGAACTAAGAATAGAACAATTAAATCAATCCTAAAACATTAATTGCTATCATCAATTACAATATTTTGTCATTGCCAATCGTTAGTCACTTTCCATGATGTATAATTACAGTATGAAATTTTATTAAATAAAACTTTACCTTAACAGTGAAAGCACCATAGATGTCCCTACTTAGAAGATTTCCGTGAACCAACAAAAATATCAACGAACGTAATTTATTCGAAATGCTCGAGTATAGATTTAAAACGACTCGAATCGTTTCGCTTTCATTGCTCCCAGTGGCGGTACAAGATGGTGTGGCATAGGTGGTATATCGTTTGGAGAAGGGGAAGGGCGGTTATCGCAACGCAAACCTGAGATAACGAAGGCAAACAGAAACGCGCATCGTACAAACCCTGTGCCCACACCGTACCATCGGACTTCCTTCTGATTATGGTTACCAATATTTAAGTCCGTAGCGTGATTACCGCGTTCCTCGTGTCAACGTTTCTTTTTTCGTTTTTTTTTCCTGTCGCCATATCCGATACCGATTTTTTGTTCTTATATCAATAATATCGCTCGGTTCTAAGAAAAGTTTCTAAACGCCTCTAACCGACGAAAAATATGAAATACTTAAACATTTCGAGAAATTTCGACACCTCTATTATCAGTTCTATATACTGATTTAGGGTAGAGGTAGAATGAACGTGAATTTTTGTTCGTTTTCGAACGAATTATAATCAATGAAACAGGTTTATCGAACGCGATTGTAAAACAAACCATACTGCAGGGGGTTAACGTTAGAGAACTACCGCACCCGTCAAAATGGCGGGTCTCTGTTTCCTTATTTCGCAATTATTGATATTTTCAAAGCGTGAAACATCCGAAATGATTTGAAAAATAAATAATTTTACTCGAATAGCATAGTAAATGCATAAAGAAGGCAGAAAGCAATCTATTGTTACCATTTTTATAAAGATTATATATTAAGCATATTAACGCTTTTCAAATATAACTTTCAAAATGTTGTATTCTGCTGTTCTTCTCTATTTGCAACTTCTTTAACAGATCATTCTACGTTTCAAACAACAGATCGTTGCAAGATGAACATTTCCAAATAAATTTTCTAATTTTTGTCCCCGTTTTAACGCCAGAACTTTGCGGCAACTAGCTTAAAATTTTCTTTATTCTGTATATCACAAATGAATATTAGAAATGCGTCAAATTTCCCAGTTGCGAATGCGTTAACCAGTTAGCTGTTTTTGACGAATACAATCGCCACGAACAAATGGCAAGATTTGGGTTACGAGTACACTCGTCATCGCTTACTTCCTGCGGTATATTTTAGATACATATTTTTTAAAAAGACAGCGACAGCTAACTGGTTAACCCTTTCATTACAATGTACGAGATATCTCGTTCATACCATCCAAGAAACCAAGATATCTCGTCACATTGACACTAAAACTACCGAGCAATCAGAGTGACTTATTTCCAATTTTTTATAACAATTAGATCAATATGTTTCTTGAGATTCGAAGGGTCTAGCCTTGTATCTGCGCAAATACACAGATACAATTTCAAATCTTTCGCAAAAACGCCTTCATAATTGAAATACTTGTAAAGTAAGAATTCTCGAATGAGTCAATTTGACCCGTCCGGTGGTTTTAGTGTTAACCGCTCGGTAGTTGTATCGTTAACGTATAACAGTACCTTCACGTTCTTATCGTTTACAGATTTCCCTGCTGCGTCGACAAAACAGCGAGCTTCAAAGGACCGTCGTCGAGCTGAACGCGAAGCCGAAAGGCACGGTAAGTCAACGATACATCAATTTTTCCAGCAGCGCGTTGTATTTAACATGACAGCGGAACCAACGAAAACTATAAAGATTACCAGCTCTTTATCTGAGCTTAAATATTCATGGGTTGCAATCAGAAGTAGAAGGTTTTCGACGCAACAAGAAAAAGTGGCACGCGATAACAGCGAGCACCGCTTTCTACAAAACCACCTCGGAGAATATTCAATGAAAGGAATCCATAAACTGTTCTACGGTGTGACGAACTGTTCACATTTGGTTCACTTTCATACGCCGCGCCGCGTATATGCTAAGTAGCAGCTGATGATGCAGATACAAATCTGCTAAACACTCCCTCCCGTATCTCGGGCTTCTTCGTACCGGCTCTATCCCGTCCACGCTGCGTTGTCGCATAAACTTCGACTGTTACAATCGTGCCTGGTAGGTATATTGACTTACAAACGCCTCTCGCGCTCAAAAATAATCTCTCGCCCCCTGGATTGATAAACTGAAACCTATGGTGTGAAAAGACGGTGTTAAAAATAGGCGAATTTCGGTGTACGCCGGGAACCAACAATTCTCTCGTGGAGTTATGTGTTTTGTATAGAGAATTCGAAATTGTAGTTTCGTTGGTATTGGCGATGGGTAAGTTTTCGAATTTGTGGTCAGTGGTCGTTTGTGTAATTAGAAATACATTTTGTTTAGTTGTAATTTCTTTGTTAGCTTGGGATGATAGTGTACTGGTGAAACAGTCGTTTGGAATATTGAGATTATTTGTGAAGATTATTGTAATTTGATGTTTAGTGAAAGTAAAGAATAATGAGAAATTGTTAATGAAGAGTTACTGTAAACAAGAAAATCTTTTCTATCCTTGACTTGTCATGCAACATTTATATAAAAAAAAAATTATAGAATATTATGAAATTCTTAGTATATTTTTCACGTCAATTTATTAAAAATTATTGCACTAATTTTATACTGAGTTATTATTGTCTTTTGTTATTGCCTTGATAACTGACAGTAAATGATCTTGAAATATACTGCACGAGAAAAGTGAAGCTATTTTTAAATCGTCTTTTCCTCGGTCTTTCCAGGATAATATTCTGTCCAATTAATATATTCAAAAAGTCAATACTGAAAAATATACAACTTCAATTATTTATATTTTTCGTTAAGTTCTATCTTTTTCGTAAAAGAAGAAACCTTAAGAAAATTGTTAAAAAATGTTAAATATTCTACAATCTTATAACACATTAACTATTATGTTGTATAATATTTATTTCTCCTATAGATCAATTTATCAATACAGAATTTCTTTTCAAACTAAAAATTATAAACACAAGTTTACTTGAGATAACAAATTCGATTAATTTATACCTTCATTTTCTCCATATGATGATTAATTTGACTCTTTTTGAAAATATATTTTTCGCCACGCATTCATTCATTAGCGCGTTAATTTAAAACAAATTAAATGACACACGACGTAGGAATTTAGGAAGTGTTCCAATAATAATTTGTACGTTTTATCAGCCTTCTTACCAAGAAGTTGAAAAGTGTACACGCAGCTGTTAGCCGTGCATACAACATACATCTCGCTCGGAGTTCACGGCGAACAGAACTTTCCTGAACTTTATGGCGCCCGCGTATGCAGAAACAACGCATCGCGCATGCTTCATAAAAGTGGAAAAAAAAGGACTCAACAATGAGCACGCCTTAAGAATTGGTTGCGGTTGCACGATCCATAAACCACGCATCCTCGGCTAGTCGCAAAACTCCGTTAACGTTCGAAAGACGGTAACTCTCTGTTAGATCATCCACGTAAGAATAATTCACGATCGAGTGTCATTAAATTGCTTGGCACAGTGCATTATTAAGTTTCGAAGGTGACGCAGACGTTTACATTCGAATACCGATTACGAGCTGATTAAAATATTGCTTGCGCTTCGTTTCTATTTTTTTCCGATCGGTTTTACTATAATAGGTATCTATACGTAACCTAATTGAGAATCGCAAGAAAACAAATCTTAACAAAGGTCTCAGATATCTAAATTAAACGATGCTTATGACAAACTGAGAACATTAGTTTGAAAAGTATGTAAATTTCCTTTTTTAAACGTATCAATTAATAATCTAATCCACGGTCGAGTGTCATTAAATTGCTTGTCGCAGTGCATTATTAAACTTCGAAGGTGACGCAGACGTTTACACGCCAATACCGATTGCAAGTTGATTGAAGTATTGTTTGCGCTTTGTTTCTATTTCTTCCTGTTCGTTTTGGGTTTTTCTTTGTTCGATAGAACAGTCAATTTTGTACTTAATAGACCATAAGGTATTATTTTAGATTTAATGCTATTCAATGTTTTTTTAGTTGGATTAATATGAACATAATAGGTATCGATACGTAACCTGATTGAGAATCACAAGAAAACAAATCTTAACAAAGTTCTCAGATTTCGAAATTAAACGATGCTTATGACAAACTTGGAATATTAGTTTAAAAAATATGTAAATTCTCTTTTTTGAACGTATCAAATAATAATCTTAGTACAAACGGAATTTAGCACTGTAATTCTCGCATCCGTCAAAATGACGAGTTTTAATTTTTTTAAATGTTGTGATTATCAATACCTTAAGAGTGTTAAATACCCAAAATGATTTTAAAAATAAAGATTAGATTAACATTATTACTTTCATTATTTCTTAAGAAATTTTTGGAGTAAATGCTATGCCACTTTATTTTGTCTAAAATATTTAATTTAATCTTTTTGTTGTTTATTATTTTTGACATATGCAAAACTATTTCCGTCCATTTGTTTATTAATTACCTAGAAACCACTTATTTAGAAATAAGCACAAAAACATAGGTTAATATTACTTTCGTTTTTGAGAAATTCATTTTTTCATCATTTTTTAAGAGATGTGTACCATATTTTCGAACGAAGGCAGCATTAATTACATTAACACTAAAACTACTGAGCAATTAGAGTGACTTATTTCTAATTCTTAATAAAAATCAATACAACACGTTTCTTGAGATTTAAAGAATCTCCTGGTCTTGTATCTGCGCAAATACACAAATATAATTTCAAATCTTTCGCGAAAACGCCCTCATAATTGAAATAGGTGCAAAATAAGAATTCTGAAGTGGGTCAATTTGACCCGTCCAGTAGTTTTAGTGTTAACACTAGGTTTATGGAACGCGTCGAATTGGCGCATATTGGATTTTAGAAATATTATTTTGTAAATGTTTACGCCGATTTTGATTGATGCGATCACACTGACATGTACCCCAATTACCTGCTACCGAATCTCTAGTTTCCACAATCTAAATAAACGAGCATCAATTCTTTTAGGAATAATAGAATGAAGTGTACGATTCAAGTCACGTTCGTAAAATCGTACGCAAAAAAAGAGGAGATTGGTAAATCCTCGTGCGAATCAGCGTGATCGCGATGTGGAATAGTGTAGGAAACAGTTGTAAAAGCCACATCGATGTCGCATCGTTTAGCGTGATAGGTACGTTCACTAGGAATGTTAGATAAGCCGATAACCGTAGCCTCGCACTTTATTTCATATCTTAGGCCAACAAAGGATCGGTCCAACCTCTCTCTTCCACCGGTATCATAAATACCATTCATGGAGTTTCCTTCGCTTTTCCCTCGCTTCCGACCATATATACTGGAACCTCCTTTGGGCAAACCAATGGCTCAACTGAGCGAGTGTCGACATTATGGGACACTCACTGTGTATGTGTTATTCGCTCTGTATTTTAGGAAAATAAAGTATATGTACAGAGTTCTGTTTACATGGAGTATCCATTCCACGTGGATTCGTTTTAGACGAATGAAAATCGCGTAGTCTAGCAGTACAAAATGAAAAAAAATATTGAAAAAAGCTGGTATACATTTTAGAAATACATATTTATTGCACACAGCTTAACACTGGAACTGTGAATACTTATTACGATTAATAAAGGAGTAGCAATAATTGCTAAATAAGAGAACTGAAACCTGTTATTTTGAGAGATGCAGTAATTCTCTGTGTTAAACGAAAAATAATAATAGTGACATTTTAGAAAACAAAGGAAAAGGTGAAGGTAAATACATAGACCTACAAAAGGCAATATTGAAACGAAATTGATAAATAGTTCCACAGATTTCTTGAAGCATTTTTTATTAATACAGTTCACAGTGCACTTCATTTTGTTTTTACACGATCGATTAAGTTGATATTAGAATTTCGATGATCGTGTTAAATCGAAGTAAATCTTGCAAAAAGAGGAAAATCCCTAAATCGTGTTAAATCAAAGTAATGAAATAAACTCACGTATTCGTTATACTGTCTATAAACATGAAACCTGCAAGATCCAAAGAGCTCATACATCCGCATGCCAACACACTACCATCTCTATATTTAATTGTTAGAACGATGTAGCTCGAGTCTCAGTCGATATTACGTTTGCGTTATATTTTTATTTGACTATAAAATTGAAAAATTTTAATATTCCCTTTATTATTTCCGGATAGATATAGGTATAATTTTACATTATTTGCATGTTTTACTTTGGCAGCTCTTTTTATGGAAGTTACACGAGAATTTTTTTCACTACTTTCGTAACTTCCCTGCTATGTCGATTCATTGATTTTTGCGAATGATCACTTCGCGGAGAATTTGTTGCAAAGTAAAATAGGAGTTTCCTTCTTTTTATAACTTCAGTATAGTTTCCTTTTCTGAAATTGTTGCTTCTTATTGTCTTCTCATTTATACTGCATTTACATCTGCATCATTACACCCACTTTTTCTTTATATTGATGAATTTACCAATTAACTTTGATAAATGAATGAATAAATTGAATGTAGGGTTATTGTCAAATGACAGTCGTGTAAGTACTGTAAAAATTTGCATCAAAATTTTATAGAGACATTAAAGATTGTTATAAAAATATTAAATTAATAGTGACCACAATTAATGTCGCAAAATAAAAAATCTACCAATACTTACGTTTCACTAAA